AATGCGATAATATACTATCTAGTTGGGCGCAAGGCCGCTGCTAGAGACAGGAGTCTGAATTACAGAGGTGACAGGAACGAGACAATGTTACAGCAAGTAAAGTTACGAGTGCGCTGCCGGGGGTTATTTATTATAGGTACTGAATGGCAGAGCTTAGCAGATACAATGCGTAGGGTATATACTAGTACTCTTCTTTGTTCTACATTATACATTCTACATTTTACTCTAACAAGGATCTTGATAGGACCGGTGGATCAGTAGGCTACGTACAGAATGGGGGGCCCCGGCAAGCTTTTGGTGGCCAAGCAGCTAGAGATACATATCTTGCAAGGAAGCAAGGTACGGATTCGATACAAGAGATAACCCGCATGGGAGAGGAGGAATAGGCTTTACCGAGGTGGGCAAGTAATTAAGGGACGTAATAATACCTATCAGTATGTAGTGCTACGAGATAGGTAGTGATATCTACCTACCTTACCTATGTATAACTTAGGTATGTAGGTACACTACGAGTATGTATTCCGTATAACGAGAGATTGAGTTTGATAAGTTGAATCTAGGGTGTTCTCGAATAAGACTAGAGACCGTTGGGGTCTAATCAAAGTCTAGGCTATGGAATACTCTTTGTTGGAAGCAATCTGACGACTCGCGTGATGTGTAGCATCCATCGTGGCCACCCGAACCCAGTTAGCCAAAACTCGCCATGCCCACCTCCAAAACAGCTGGGGGGTAAACACGGTCGCGATCATGCTCATCCAGTTAGCTTGTACATATGCAAGCGTGCATGTAGGTACCCTAGATACATACATAACCTGCCTCTGATAAAAACACAAACATAGGTACATATAAGGTAGTTACTGATATATGTAGGTAGGTATATAACCTTAGAACACGTCGATCTGTGAACCCGCTAATAGCACCCGCTAATAGCGTCATCTAAGATAAACTTGGTTACGACGATAGTTACGTGAAACAAAAGGAGATAATTAAAAACTGAGGGGGCCTTTTCCTCTAGTCGACTCGAGCTTATCTCCGTTATCAGCTCCTAAGCATTTCTCCCCTTGTCCAAGTCCACATCCCTTGTCTCCGGGCCGAAAAGGATTCTTAGGTTGTATGTATATTGACCGGTGCTCGTTTCCGCGTTAGACCTCAGCTCGACCTGCCCATAAGATAATTCCAAAAGACTTGGATATTTCATCGTTCTCGTTGAATTCTCATCAACGGCTGGCTTCTAGACCTATGCTATTATATATTATAGTAGCGGTGGCGCAGCTTCCTCATTGACGATAGCTTGGAATGGTTCTCCAGATTGCCAAGGACTCGATCGCGGCCGAATATGTAATCACTCCTAGTCTATCTAGTTTAGTTTAAACTTGCACGGTATATTTAGGTACGTTGGCTTGGCGAACGGGCAGGTTATCTAAAGTTCTGGGGAACGGGGAATATAACTACTCTAAACGATACGCTAGACCTATTACCGTCTAGCCGCTTGAATTCATCAAGGTCCTTAAGCATAATAGAGGCGGGCTGCCAGGGTACCTTGTGAGCTAGTGAGGGTTTGTCCCAGTTTGCCAGTTTGCGCAGATAAGAATCAAATCATCAAGACTCTTGGTTGGTTAAGAAGGGAAAGACCAAGAACTCATCCATTTTCCGGATTGCGCTGCGCCACACGATATCTTATTATGAGGTACCTAGTTACTGTGAGTATGGACTTGATACGACCAAGGCTGAGAGACGACTCATCAAGTGGGATGAGAGTGGTGTCTCGTTGACCATTAGAAGCCGAAGCTTTACCTGGGTAGGCTCGGGTCATCGATCACTATCTAGTTAACGAAGATGAGTGGCGCAATTAATTTAGTTCGAGGACCCAATCGCTTGATAGGAGCATATGTTGTCATGGCTACGGATTACATGTAGATATAGTAGGTAGAGGTAGACAGGTAGCCAGTTCATTCTCGACACACCGCCCTATCTGCTTTATACTAGCCCCCGCGACAGAAGCTTGACCTTCTCTTCCCGGTATCGTTTAGTCGTACAATTTTCTTATAACACGCGATATGCAGTAACTTTTCCGGCGCCCAGGCTCTTGGTAAAGTCTAGGCTCCGACGATACCAGTAAAGAAACGGCCTATCCAACCTATCTGGACTAATATTACTTATTTCTACATTGCGTTGGAGATTTATGCGTGTGCGCATGTAAGTATGCGCATCATAGAGGTCGGGCAAAAAAGAAGTGAGACACAAGTGAACAAAGAAAAGCGCTACAAAAGAGAATTTCTCAAAATCCGCCTCGCCTACTCATCAACGTTCCCAATTGGACGCTACATGACATAAAAAGCGAACGGGAGAAGCAAATGACTGGACCTAAAACAATAGAGGTATCGGGGAACCATGGGTTGGAGTAATTCTCCCCTGCGGATTTCTCCAATGATGTCTCGCATCTGTCCGAGTGCTGATCAGTGAGTGCTCACAGCTCCTGCGGACCGCCGGATCGGTCGATCAGCTTTCTGGACCCCAGATCCTTTCGAAATAATTTGAATACTAGACGAGACGACTGGTTATAAGATGATTATAAAATACCTAATTATATAAAATAATATAAAATATACCTTCAAGATAGATTTTAGAGAAGCAAACACGCACGTTGCTGGGCATATGCATATAGTATGTAGAGACTACGAATCGAAAGGCAGAAGCAAATACCTATGTACGCACAGAACGTTTCTAAAAGTATTCGTCTACCTCGAGCATGTGATGGCCAAACGTATTAGTTCTCACGATACGTGTACTAGCGTCGCAGCGTTAAGACTATTTGGTCAGCATCAAGGTGATGACGGCGCTTCAGGCTACTCCAAATACATCTAGAGCCACATAAGTATCCGAACATTTCAAGAAGATGAATACGTAGATTTATTCAAAGATCATTAATGTGAAAGCCTTATATTTTCACCACTGTTGCCCTGAAACGTGCCTTTACTTCCGGAATACCGCATTGCATATATATTACTACCTATCATGTATAATCCGGAATGGGTGAGAGATTCGACAGTAGAACTAGGCGACCAAACAACAGTACTACCTTATATAGTACTACTTCGTAGGTAACGTAGTATTATTCCAGAACAATTCGTCAATAAAAATACATAGTCATTGTACTGCTCGCCAATCTCACAAGACGCCATTCAGACTAGGTCGGCCACGCGCCAGTCCACTAAAATCTCCAAATAATACTATTGATCACTGCCCAAGTTATTAACCCAACTACTTCTCACGCCTCACGTATATGTATGCACTCCCATCGCCAATCCTGTTCGTTTCTATGATTGGGCAAGCAAACCTTGCTCCCCCGAATCCCCTCCCATTTCATCCGTTACGATAAGAGAATCCTACTAGAGAGTCATAAGATGCCTATTAGGTTTTATACGGCTTTTGCGGACGCTAAAGCGTCCTCTTGTCTCGGTCAGCTCCGAGTTGGCCACCCTTAAATAAAACTCCAAGTGCAGTTTGTCCTTGACATTCCTCCCGCGGGGCACGTACCTACATTGGGTACGTACGGCGCAGTGATCTAGAGTCCGATATTGCGGGAGCATGCCCCAAAAGGATTCGGTGTGGCTCGCGGGGTGACGACCCTGAATTGTCCCCCCTGTTAGGCCATCTACATGTATTCCAAGAGAGAGGGGTCTGGTGGGCCTACCGGGATAATTCTATCGAGGGAGGAGAGGATCCAAGCAAAAGGAACAGATTACAGCCTACTTTTGTATTGGCTGGCTATTTGCGTTCCGCTATTTCTCGTACGTAACAATATTAGCGGTTATTGGCCATTACCATGGAATAGGGTTTCTAAAACACGTGTTTTATAATAAAACACTGAATAATACCGTACCCCTGTAAAACACTGTATTATTCGGTATTATACTCGGAGCCGGAATAACATATGACCCGCTTAAACCATGGGTAACTTTTAGAAAAAAAAAATAATGTCGAGGAATTATATTTAATCGAATGTTATGTAAAGACGATATTTCCGGAGGTTATTTTCGAGTTGGTATTTTTGGAAAAGTAAATACTTGTAAATACTTAATACAATTGAGATTCCTACCAAAATTTAGTGGTGGGGTAATACGGCTGGGTATCCGATAAGTATATCCGTTCCGAAAGATACGTGCCGAAAAATAAAACACTGAATAATACAGGAATAATTCCTGTATTATTCAAATTGTATTATTCATCCCGAAACCCTACCATGGATAAAGCTTCGTGCAGTGTGGAGGATGCGGAGAGGTATATACATATACTACAACTACATACTGTACGACCCAAGCACCGCCGCCAAGGATACAGTTTACATACCTACATATGACATATTACATTGATCCACCGTATGATCCATGGAGCTGAAAAGCCAGGGTCTGTTACTTATTATGTATGCATCCTTCAACCAAATACCTAGTTGCAAACTGAGCAGCAAACATTGCAGATACCGTAGTGATATAGCCCACGGGGTTGGGATACGTCTGACTTGTAAGAGCCTCATTTAAAGCGCTTCAGGAAATAGTAGACCTTTCGAGGTTTCGATAAGGTTAAAGCCACTCAGCCGCTTCGAATCCTCAAGACTTGCAATTACATACATGGTCACACGACAGTTGCTGCGAACCGACCGCCACTCATGAGTCTAAAGTCGGTGATACCTTTTGAATCCTTTCAGCTGGAGCGTATCGATAAAAGGGCGCAGTGTATCGTCGCACTCGAGGCAAAAAGCAGAAAAGAGGATGTCCAAAGAAACTATATCTACACCAATAAGTTAACTACGTATTCTCATTCATTTTCGAGTGAGAAGAATGCAATTGCTATGCATCGAAGCGAGGTAAATTGATAACTAGACGTACTATGATGTGAATGATAATCAATACATATAAGAACAGCTTCTTCGAATGTCGCAGAAGAAACATCCCTAGTAGCTACCTATATAGGTACCTACTCTTACATGCGTGCGCTATCCATTCCGTAACATATTATCTCTTGAATCTATCAGATACTAATAATCTAATTATAATATAGTCTAAAGTAGACACCGAGCATTCGTCAGCATCTTACCTTCTCTAATTTGCTTGGTTTCCAGATCGTTCAACACAAACTCTCATTTTAATAACGTCCCTGAGCTCGAACAGTGAGCCATCGACAACATTCCCCTGCGGAATCAGCCCAAGCCCTATCTTTTCTACGGGCTATTCTACTCGATATAGGCTGTGAGTATGGGAATCAGCGGTCCCCAGAGCTTCACCGCATCGCTCCGGTGAGATGTAGCAGTGAGTCGGTCGGACACACTATCCCGTGGCGCTACTTGTTCGCTTAACCATTGTCGCCATTCAATATCAACCATAAGCCATCTATGCGAATTATATTAGCAGACACATACATCTAGATCGCGAGAAGTAAGCCTGGGGAAAGTACGAAAAACACTACTTGGAGTGAAGATATTCTCGTTGATGTAATCATCTACAGAGTAGGTTTCCTCTATCAAGATGATCTTGTTGGATGCGACATACTCATCTGGCACTCCATGAGGAATACTTTGGCCCATACGTACGTCGCTCAACCATAAATCGATCTGTCGCAGTCGTTCTTCAAGCATACAGGATCTCGAGCCGGAATATTCCTGGCAAGCCCTCATGAGGAACACCTGATCCCTAGCTCCGCAGTTGGATCGCCTTATCTTTGAGCGAACCTCTAGCTCGCTCAGCAAGTCTCTGACGAGTTCGAGCTCCATCTTCGACGCCTCAAGTTCCCGTCGAATGTTCTCTTTCGCGAGAGCGAGCCAGCCATAGTTATCTCCGATAGCTTCTCCCGTCTCCTTCTCAACGAGTGGTGGCAATTGGTACTGTCTGCTATAGGAGGGCAGGGGCTTAGAGAGATACATTCGGATTCATCGGTTAAGGAGCTATCTTATTAAATAATTCAAGGGGCGTTTTGATGTAGCAGTCTCGATATTTCTTCCCCGGCCGTTATCGTCGATCACGGTTTTCGCAAGAAGGTCCATACGACACTTCGAGACAGTCTCAGGGCCGTACGAAGTGGGTGTATGATGTAAAAGTACCAGGTCATCAAATAAAGGGCCTTTGTTCGCATAGGTATAATGTAGATTATTTCTAAACAAAGGGAATTAACTTGGACGAATCCATATTATACGTAGCTTAATAAAGAAAAATTCCCCTCTACCTAGGTACTCATATGTTTATCAGTACTACGAGTGTGATATGCCATTAACTCTCAGTTAGTTTAGAAATACAACTTTCAGAAGGCTCCCCAAACACGATTTCCTTGTGACGAAAACGAAAGTACGAGACGTCATCTCAATAGGGGGGCGCATATAACCCAACCTATTACGCTAATCTCTGAGTTTTGTGTAAGGGTAAGTTACCTATATTATTCTACCTATATTATATACCATTTGGTGTCTGTCACACGAATATGCCCGAGTTTACGAGGGGTTATTGTGTCGAATTTTTTCCATGGCCCAAATAGGAAAGTAACTCAATGGGCAGTATATGGCACGTGCGCAATTATGTAAACTCGGGCATATTGTGCAGCCCGCAGGGCTGCCTCCAGTTTAGCAAGTTAGGCAGTTCGTTAGGGTTGGTAGTACTTGACTAGTAGTGAACCGTTTCAATGCCAACAGACGTTACTTTGCTAGTTTCCCCCCTTGATTTAAGCACTTAGGTAGGAAACCAATAGTATCTACAACTATGAACGGCCATTGTGCCCAGTTATACAATAAAGTGACTGAAACAAAGGATAAAACAATTTCATTCGTAAATACCTAGTTTGGTATCTTTCTTCCCAGCTAAATATGATTTGTCACAATAGTTATGTTGTAGAAAGGACTTTGAGATGTTATAACATTCCATTGCCTCCAAGAAATGTATGTGGTCAACATCGGCATCCATCACTCACTTATCAGCCACTTTCGTCACTCGCTAATAGAACTCGCATTATTACGCCAAGAGTGACCAATCAGCAAATCTCCAAGGTTGAGAATGTGTGTGAGACATATAGAGTGGTATCATTGCTATGAATGTCAACATGAGTTTAATCATCGAATAGTCTTGAGGTCGTGTGCCAAAGCTGCGATGGGAAGTTGTATAAAGGTTAAACAGCAACGAGATGTTATCTTGAACTACGATACCTGCATTACTTGCAAGAGGTCTAGGAGAGCCGAGGAAATTTGCCAGCAGAAAATATATCGGCAGGTTCCCTTATACTATACTGTTAGAAATGGAAGGTTCATACGGGAGGATTTCTGGTAGTTTAGGTAGGTTTATGACGATCTGGGCTAACCGGACCTATCGAACAATTGGTAGGTTTGGTCAAATAGGCTTGGTTAGAATTAGATAGAACCATTCCATGCATGCTAATGACAGAAGCTTATAGAAGGTATATTAGAGTAACTAGGTGATTTAAGATGAGGAAGATAGACCGGATCACTTTAATAGTCGCTTATTGTTTCGCTTGTTGTTAGATACTAACATAGACTTTGAGGCTGCGCTATGTATTACCTGGTCATGAATTCAATCCTGCGTAGAAATTAATAAAGAAATTTCATTGGTATCTAGCTTAAGTATATTTAAAGATTTATTCTAAACAGGTATCAAAATATTGTTCTCGTTAGTAGTCATCTCTTAGATCCCAAACACCATCCATGTAGATAACTGTATATTCCATAATGCGGCCTGAATAACCATCCGAAGATTCCAATCCCCCCTTGAACAAAGAAAAAGTAGAAATTTAGCCTGAGATTTTAGGTAGCATTTTTCCAAGGAGCGAGGGTCCTTTCTTCGTTGCTTTGGAGTGCTTCCCCTCTAGGACAGTTCTCCTTGCCTCGCGGGCGCTGCAGCTTAGAGCAATCTCATGCTCCCTTACCTCGTCATCATCACTCAGGCTACTCCCCGTCGTCATGGACTCCATGGAAGTGCTACTACCCATTGGTCTATGGTTACTCCTTGGAGCAGAAGCGCTTGGCGCGACGCTGACGCGAGGCAGCCTGCGTATACTTCTGCCCCAAACCGACTGTGTGCGAATTAACATGGTATTCCTGTTGCGTCTGGGATGCGGTGCTCGATGCTTCGCAATGATTAGTTCGTATTGTTGCATCATCGTCGGGTGATCAATGATCTCTTCTGCCGTGAAAGTGGTCCGTTCGACACCAAGAGCAGAGGGCATGTTATCGGTATAGTACTTGGCGAGCTCAGAAGCGGGAACCAGTGAGCCCCAAATCTCGTAGAAGGGAACTGAGCGTATATCAGGAACCTTGAGTGAATAGGCCTCAAGAATAGCGTCCCACGCAGATGATATGATGGTGTGCACAGCCCGAGCAAGATCGGGCTCGACAGACTCGACAGTCAGAGGTATACTAGGCTCTCGTTTATGTGCTGGGAGGGGAATCCTTGACGTTGAGTGATTGTCGCCGAGGCCTTTCAAATATAGTGGCTCCATCACGAAGGTAGAGGTGAGAAGAGAGATGACCGAACAAAGCATACCCAAAACCTCATCTGCGAAGGAGAGGGTTATCTTCTCGCTGAAAGTAAGGGATATATCGACGTTAGTAGGCCCTGACATGCATGATTTGACAAAGACGTCTGATGGCGGGTAGTTTATCTCTGTGTAATTTAGTTTACACGTAGCGTTCCCAACAGCAAATTCAAGTATCCCAGTATCCTTGCTTTGGTTTTTATGGTAGATGACGGTGCTGAAGCGAGTCCAAGATGGCCAGGAAGTAGCTTTTTGCATAATATCGGAGATTTGCATGTTTTGTGATATGCTAGCAACATGCTGACTTTGAACACACCGGAAATATTCATACGGTGTGATTGGAATATCTGGTAATCGTGTTCGAACAGGTAGAATATTACCTAAAGGACCGACAACATCCGAGATGCTTTGTTTACTCGGAAGGCTGAGGTTCCTCCCGTCCACGAGCTGCCCGAAGACGACGTCATCGGTGGCGGACAAGTTCGAAAGGACAACTGACCAGGCACCCTTAAGGATTGTCTCGAATGATATACCTAAGCTATGTAGTGACCTAGTAGGGATTTGTCGATGAAGAGTCGTGTGATTTAAGTTGACTTTCGCAGGCGAGGGCTGTGATATTATTTGCGTCACTGTTGCGCCTTCGAGTAGAGTACGCCAGTATCCGCTTGTACTATTTGAGTGCGCGCGATGAGAGGCTCTGGCTACTTCGCAGAAACCAGGACGTCGGGCAGGCCGATCGCTGTGATTATAAAACTGAGTCAAGTCTCGAACAAGCATAGGTAAGGAAAGTTCATCATACTGAGCTCTAGAGAGTCGTATAACGAGGACAGAGCTCTTCCCAGCGTCGAAGTAGAGAAACTTGGTGACAGGCTGGCTGAAATCAACAAGCTGTGCTTGCTCCCTCTTGATGAGCTTCGTGGTCAGGTTGCTGAGTCTCCAGCTCTGGCACTGGTATCTTAGAAACTCCGGACGATGCGACCGATAGACGGCCTGGTAGAGTTGACGACTATGGTTGGCAAATGCGGTTCTGAGTATAGGATGAGCGTCGGTTAACATAAAGCACGCATCTTGAAGTTTATGCCAGTCTAGAGATCCAGTGATGCTAATCTCCAAGTAATCAACATTGCCACGAGTCTGTAGCATCCCGGACTCAATGAACATTGCTTGTAACGATGACGTCTCGGTTGCATCCTCAATCAAGCTGCTGTCAATTCCAAGCCGTAACACAATTGCCTTGCTGGTAGGAGAATTTGGGTGGTTTGATTGCGTCGGTTCAAAAACCTCTTGAATGGCTGTGGGATATATCTCTATAGTAACACCTCCCCTACATATTTCAGCCAGGGAGATGTTTCGAAGGATATCGATAATAGAAATACCAACTCGACGCTGTTTGCACTCTCTGATTAGTTCATGGGCCAAAAAAATATCACCACCTAGGGTCAAAAATCCATCGCTAGCTGTAATTGAACCTTCTTCGACACCGAGTACTTGAGCCCATATAACCCGCATTCGGCGCTCAACTTCGGTTAGGGGGAGAGGTTTGAAGCTTGTATCCTGGAGCTCTTGAGGGTTTGAGACTTCTGATATCCCGAGAAGTTGCTTCCTGGATGAACCTGCAATCATTCGTTGAAGTTCTATCCTGTTGACCTCCAAGGTCGGTGTTAGAGGCATACGCTTAACAGGTATATACGCCGAGGGCACCATATAACTCGGCAGAGTCTCTCGGAGCGCCATGTTCCCCATCTTCTTAGAAAGGTATAATCTCTCCTTTGTAGCGCGACTGAGGTTCGACAAGCCTTCGCCCCTTTTCAGCGCATTCTCTCCGAAATCGACAAATGCAGCTAGGATCGGGTCCGAGTGAGGGTCGTTGAAGGCAACCATTTCAACCACTACATCGATACCCCGACCTAGGCATTGCCGAAGCCTTGGCTCGACAACCGAAAGACGGAATCTTTTACCGTCAATTTCCGCGTCTCCGCCATCGTCTGGGGCGAACTCAATCCTACCATCTTCCAGATATCGGGCGTAATCTCCAGTCTTGAGTAGGCGACTCCCAGATTTTTCTAGTAGCGACATTGGAAAAACTGCACTCTTTTCAACCCAGGCCTTGATATCAGGTTCGTGGATATCCAACCCGGTAGCAAGTGTCGGCCCCCCTATTATCAGCTCGCCAAGGGCGCCTACTGGCATGAGCCGGTTACTATCTTCGGGGCTCACTATCCAGAAGTTTCCGTAGAATGGGTTACCGAAGCATTGCGAAGCCTTGGAATCGGTCACTTCGGTGGCAGAAAGTGCAAGGGGACCAGCTTCAGGAGAACCATACGCCATCAATACCTTAGCCTTGCCGATCCACGGCGTATAGACATCATCGTCGAGGTGCTGTGCACGAATGCAGACGATGGAAAGGTCCGGTAGGCTTTCTGGATCTAATTTCCTTGACAACGTCGGTGTCAAATATGTCCAGTTAACATGCATGCTCCTGGCAGCTCTGGAGAAGTCCGTAATCCTCTCCGAGGCTGAAGGGATACAGACACAGCCTCCGTTAACCAAGGTGGTGAATATTTCAGAAAGCGCAATATCGGCGTTATACGAAGAAAGCTGCATGACCCTACTGGATGGGTTGATCAGTAGCGTAGAACCCTGCCCGACACAAGCAGCTGCTAGGGACCCGTGGCTATATGAGATGCCCTTGAAGGTCCCAGCGGACCCGGCGCTGAAGAGAATGCACGCTATTTCATAGGGCGCAAGATGAAGAAGTTCCATATCAACAGCTTGCGCTGAAATAGCTAGGACCGCGTTTTCGTCCACAATGATGACCTTTGCCACAAGACCATCGACATGCCTCCGAGCACTGGCAGAGCAGAGCACGAAATCGGCACCGACTTCTTGGATCGACCAAGGAATGATCGAGGGGATCCCGACGTCAATAGGTACCAAGATTGCGCCAGCGCTAGAGCGGTCAGTATATGGTTTAGCTTTACAAGATATCAACTTACTGTAGTACCGCTAGCATGGCCACCACAGCCCAGCGACTCTTGTCCATCACCACTGGTACGGGTATCTGCGGCTTCAGCCCAGAAGCTAAGAGATGTTTAGCAAGGACTATGGAGAAATCATGTAGATCGCCATAAGACAAGTTCCCATCCCACGCACAGATGGCTTGAATTTCAGGATTTAACGAAGCTTGGTGCGCAACTAAGTCGTGCACATGCCCCTTAGGTATGTCGGCTTGAGGCATGCTATTCCATGATAGGATTTGCTCATGATCGCGCATACTGAACAGGTCTACCTCCTGAACCATACTAGTTGGTGAGTCCAGGATGGCTTCAATAGCCCTTCCAAAGGCACATGCTACGGTGATTGCTTGATCGGAGTTGAGTATGCGGTATCCAATGTCGACTGTGATATTCCCATCGTGGAAGTATACATCAACACCGACATCGTACTCTGAGGCTTGCTCGGTCCTGATGTGTTGACGTTTCGAACTTGTAGAGGTCCCATGTGAGATGTATTCATATCCGAACGAAAGGTAGGTATTGAATAAGCGGCCACCTCTGATCTGTAGTTCATGCTCAACCCTATTTACGGGTACGCTCTGGTGATTAAGTGCTTGTATACGATGCTTTTCCGCGTTTAGCAATAGCTGTGTGACGAACTCTTCAGTGCGAATTTCGAGCTTGGATGCCAAAACAGTTGAAAATGAACCAACAGTATTTCTCAAGTTCTCGACGTGGAAATCTCTACCGGCAATGCGATACCCGAAACAAACACTGTCTTTCCCGGTATAATTTCGTAACAGTAAACCCCAGGCAACTGTAAGTATGGCAGAGATGTCTATGTTGTACTCGTTAGCGAGAGCTTTTAGCCTCTCGCATGGAATGTCAAGACCAATAGACGTAGTCTCCCACTCGCTTAGGATATGAGGCTGTGATACAAGTATGGGAAACGAGCACGGCTGAACACCCCCTAAATACTCCTTCCAAAAGTCAATACTGGAAGAAGCTGTCTTCAAGTATTGCACATATCGAGGATAGGATGCTTCGGGCCCAGATGGGATTGGGTCATGGAAGTAGGCTTGCTCGATTTCTTTGAAGAGAATGGCCATGCTGGCAACCTTGACTTGTAATCAGTTATCGGTAAAAGTTATAAGGAGGTAAATAACATACGTCGCATACTGCTTGGCTCGCTTCTAACTTTACGAAAGTCTTTCCAGCTACTTGACATACAATGAGCCTATGCCAGGGAATACCTTCATTTAATGATAAAGGGGGTAGGTTGTCAATAGATGCCATTGCATCCTCGATGTTGTCGCTTTCAAGGAAAAGCATGGTAGGCGAATGAGATCTTAAAACTATCTAGTCGAACAGGCCGTTATTTGAGGCGCTTTGGGAGAAGACAGTTCTTAGAGCAGAGTGTTTTGATGTTACTTGAAGCCAAGCAGCACAGATGCGCGAAATGTCAACAGGCCGATCAGACGTCGCGAGGTCGCAAATCATCAACGCCTTAGAACTCCCCGGCACCAAGGCCTGATTTATAATAATATCCTGCTGAATTTCTGTTGCGGGATAAATAGCCTCGATCTTGGAAATGTTTAGATTGAGACGTGGTAGGATTGTCGTATTTAGTCGGTTAAGCTCCTCATCAGTCACGTTTATGTGAAGAACGTCAGATGAAGATAGCCCGGAATTTTCATGCTGTAGCCCTTCTGCAGCTTGGCGGAGCATCTTCTCGTAACCATAAATCCAACTATGTATCTTCTCTTGATGTGCGGAACTTTTATGATAAAGAACGTTGACATTAGTTTCACCTCCCTCGACTGATATTGAAACCTCGAATACGGCGAGACGTCCGATATCGCTCCCGATATCTAACATACTTGGAGCCAGCATCCTACCTAACGTAGGAAGTTGTTCTAATACGGTGTCTTGACTTTGTACGTTTTGCGTTGTCCCAGCATAAGTAAACATGAGCTCGAGAGGGCAGTAGGAGGAAACAAATGAAAGAGCAGAGGCACTATCTATTAGATTCTTTGTAAACTTCAAGGCGCCTTTGTCAGTGGTAGCATGTTCTGAACCCTTGACTCGGCCGAGTATAGTTGAAATGGTGTCCACTGGAGAAGCGTCGATAGCCACCGGGCAGAGCGAGGTGAACCATCCCACAGTCTCTGATACATTTCGCCCCGTTCCGAATACGGACCTCTCATTTACTTGCTTCCAAAGAGTCGGTAGTGGGCGGTCGTGGAAACCCTGCGCAAAGGAAAGGATAAGAGCAGCCATGAAAAGGTCTACGGAACTCGCCTGAAGCGCTCGACAGCTAGCTTCAAGAGCTGAGGTGACATCTGCACTGAGCGTAAATCCTGTAGCCAGCGTATTCCCGTACGTGTTAAAGGCAGGATCAATTCCCCAGTATTTATAGTTTCCCACCGGCGCGTCGAAAGGGAGTTCCATTTCCCGTATGCGATGTCTATGGTGAAGCGTCCATTCTCTAAAAGAGAGGGTGTGGCCGGATATGAGATACCCCTTGGTGAGTAACCCTTCCAAGTCATCTGCTATGACGCGCCACGAATTTGAATCGACGACAAGATGGTGAGCAACCATATAGAGCATCTGGCGACCGTAGCGGGTGTGGAAATGGTGGGCAGCAAAGACAGGACCTGTCTCGATATCGATCGTCTCTTGGGCGATTCTGACCACTCTTTCAACTTCGGCATCCGTCGTAACTGTATGGTGTGCAAAATGATATGAAGATGAGATATCCGATTCTATCGACTGACACCAGGAACTTCCGCTACGTCGAAACCGACATCTAAGCATAGAATGATGACCGACCACAGCCTCTACCGCCGCCGTCACGTCCTCAATGCTTATAGCTCGCTTCAGTCGAAATAATATGCTCTGGTTGAACCTGTACTCGCTGTTCCTAGTTTCTCGTTGGTAAACGTCACTACCCATCGAGGTATGAAAATATAAACGCTGCATAGGTGAGAGTTCAAAGGTATCTACCGGGATGCCGTCTATATTATGCGAATGCGACTTACTTGACGTTGCAAGGGCAGCAAGTTGAGTTAATGAAGTCGCTTGCATGATATCTTCTGTATCGAGGCAAATACCCTGAGATTCGCATTTAGCTGCGAACTTTGTTGCGGCGTTCTCATCGCCACCTAAGCTTGCGAACGACATATTCATGCCTATACCGGTTTGATCCATCTGCAGCACCCTACTTGCCGTCTTCTGGAGGCGCCTTTCGATTACACTTGCGGGCCGTCTTAAACTCGCCATCGAGTCGATGGACAAAATTTGATGGTATACCTCGTCATTGGCGTTTTGAATCCATGTTTGTAGCTTTCTCCGGTTAATATTACCGGAATCGTCTAAGGGCATATTTTCTAACACGATCCAGACGCTGGGAATAAGACTCGGCGGTACTTGAGACTCAACCACTTTTCGAATAGATGGCAGCTTGATGGTATAATAAGGGCTCTGTAGTTTAACTTCGCAGTCATCTGGGCCGTCCACCACACAGCTTGTGAGGGTGGCAAATGCCACGAGCCGGCCCTCGAATGGGCCAGCCTTTGATTTGAGCACAGAAGCCTTCGAGACATCACTATGTTGATAGAGAATTTGCTCAACTCTAGCATAACGTCTCCTGGATACTGTAGGTTTGAGATGTGGTTGGACGAGGGAGTATCTAGCCGCCGCCTTGGGTGGGATTGCTGGAGGTTTAGAATAGTCTGGTATTTGATATTGATATCTGTCCGATTGGATCTCTAGCGACTCTGGTTCGAGTGGGCTAACAGTCGTGGGTTGGATCGTTCTCTCCGAAAGTTTATGTGGGACAAGCGGCGTTATACGCGTCTCAAGCTCGGCGATAGTCTTGCAGTTCATGATATCCCTGGTCTTAATAGCTAGACCCACGTCCATACACTCCGCTCGAAGCTCTCTAGCCTTTCGGCAGTTGCCTCCAAGATCTAGGAACGATTCATCTAGAGGCATCGATCCACCATCAATCCCGAGGATGCTAGTCATAGCAGCACTAAGGCGCTTTTCGACCAAGTCGCCCATTGACTTCCTCCATTCGACAGTATCAACTAGGGGTGAATAGTCCGAGACTGAGCCCACGGAATCTTCTCTTCCCGCTAGCTTCGATCTATCTAGAAGCTGCTGAGTGTTACTCGAACCGGAATATACAGAGCTAGAGTCATCATAATCCTGTGTCAAACTATGGAACGGCTGAGGAAGAGACCTCGCGTCAATGCCTAGAGCATTAGCCACCTCAGATCTTAGAAGCTGCCCGGCATTATTTTGGTTATCTGGCTTGTTTATGGGAAAGGAAGTGTTAATGAAAAGGTTCTTCTTTTTGAGCGTGCTATTTGCTCTGTTCGGCAAGCCACGGGGCTCGCGATTTACCCTGTCCGGTTGGGGTTCAGATAATTCGTCCGAGGAATCGGATGAAGACAGTATCAAGAAGCTTTCTCCTATCCGGTACGCCATCGTTAGAGATGATGGAAGGCAATATAGGAAGGGTACATAGGACAGTGAATGGGTTCCGCTTCCGAAAATGAACTGTTAGCTATAGTAAAGAGAGCATTTTATATTGGGGGGTTCACGAAGACTCTATTAAGTCGCAGGTTGTATGACATTAGAATGGAAAAAGAGCGAGAAAAGGAGATTAAGAGATGAGATATGGAAATAAAATGGCATGATATTACTGTATAGATATGCTTGGGTGAAGCGGACATTGGATTATAGGATTTCCTCCAAAGACAGAAATGTCGGGATCCGGCAGACTCTCTGCAGGTAGCCATCTTGGCCCTGTACATATGGAAGATCCTAGCTACGATCGACAATTGAAATACATACTATGTATATACATGATCCTTTTGCGGTTTGAGGCTGGGGCTGACGTACTATGAAGAAGTGAAAATGGCGTAAGCCGGAGTTCCCAGAGAGATATAAAGTCAAGAGGCTCCCCCCATTGTACACGGCATGTTAGCTGAGCTAAAAATAAGAAGAACTTATGCCAGATCTAATCCCAGTTAGGGTTAGATTGCAGCATATCTCACAAGTCTCATAGGCCTAGGGCCCTAGATTAACATAAGCTGGAATTCAGCTTTCTAAGGGTCTTCCGGAATCTCCAAGGATTTGATTCCTAGGTACTCACGTCACCAATCATCTTCCCTCGGCCGACGCAGTGGTTTTCCTTAGAATAAATCCTCAGATCCTTAAAAGAAACGCATTGACGGGTGCGAATCCTTGACTAACCGTTATTCTTTAGCTTCTACTAACCTCAATATCCCTTACGATCAACGCATCTTCACAATGCCACGCCGCATTCATAAAACACCGTGAGGTCATCGCCCAGGAACGAGCTCACGCGCGCCACATTAGCAGATATGGTAGTAGATATATTTACATATATAATGTATGTATATCAATACACCTTGCGATCTACTTGGTCCGTGTCATCCATGTCTGCGCCAATGAATCCATCCAAGCCAACATCATTCTTAAATCCCGACATGGAAAAGCAAGGTCCAGTCAACGCGGGCTTGCAGCATCGGTACCCGAGGGATCCTTTAGGCTTTCCTGCATCTACTGTACTCTCATAAAATTTATCATATCGGAACATCATCCATAATCTCGTACCATTCCGGACTACTTACTGTACAGGATAGAAACCCGTAAAACATGCAAACAGCCATTTCTAGAACCACATATAATACAAACGCGCCCGATAATCCTCGTTGCCATATCCCATTTATCGCGCGGTACAAGTAAGGCCCGCGACTCCATTGGACCATCATCTTCGCAATATTGATTACGGGGTATCATCCATCTGAGCCATGAGGAACATTGACGAAGCCATCGTATAGAGCCTCATCCGTTTCAGACGCCAGCTCCTAAACAACCACCTCCTCATCATCAGGGTCTTCAATGCTTGTTCTTCGAGTTGCTTCATGCGTGCTCTTGATCTTTTCTCCATCGTCGCCCGTAATCTCACCCGTAACCTCCACCGGACTCTCCGCCGGTACATCGCTATCTTTGACCTTTTGTTTCTCCTTATCCTTTGACCCGAACGGCCAGAGGCTAGTGAAGGCCGACGCCTTTTGACTTTGGGAGGACGGGTGAACAGGAAGTGGCTTTACGATTACTCCACCCTTTTCATTGCTCCCGTCCTTGTCGACCTCGGGCATCGCAAAATCCCCAAATTCCTCGTCCTCCTCGTCCCCTCTAGCTTGCTCGTCCTTTTCTGAGTCGGAATCGTCCCTACCATCCCCAAATCTTTCCTTACCTCGTCGCAAAGCTCCTCGCCACCAGCTCCCCCTAGATGGCCCCGCACCCCAAGACTCCGCATTGTTATCATCTTCAGCAAGGCCGTCATCACTTTCATCGTCTACGTCATCCTCTCCGTCGTCCTCAAAAGGATTGCGGAGGATACTTTCAGATTCCCTGTCGAGTACGGTCTCATCGGATTCCTGATTACCCTCTATCCCTCCTGGCTGGGTCGATGAGCCACCGGAAGTCTTCTGGTGCATCGCGAGCCTCGCAGCCAGTTGTAGACGTGCGCGTGATGGAGGAATGTTTAGTGGCGGCGGTGGTGGAGGTGGGGGCGGAACAGAAGGGGGATCCATTGATGCCGAAGAAGCCGCATTCAGTGAATCTGTATAGGCGCGAAACTATTGAACTATTAGTAAATGCATTTGACTCAATAATATAATCGTTTTTGCACGTGGGCTGTTGAGGTGAGATGCATCATAAGAAACCAAAGATAGTTGCATCGCGCCAGGGACAAGTTACCTCGTTATTAACATCCTCTTCATTATCTTCTGCTTCATCTTCTTCTTCGTCACTTGAGCTGCCGAAGCCGGATCCCGATAGCAAGCCAGAGCTTATGCTGAAAGGTCCGATGCTGCTTCCGCTGCCATTATCCTGTATTTCCATACTACCCCCAGTGCCATTTAACCCAGCCTCAGCAAGCGCGTTGGAGCCACCACCCTGGGCGCCACCAAGTCCCAGGCTTGACAAGCCCATACCACCCAGACTATTGCCACCCATCTGCGTCCTGTTGCTCATAGCAACTTCGGGCCTAACTCCCCCAAGGATGGCATTGTCCCTCTCCCTTGTTTCCGCGAGGGCACCCTCAACATACATAATCCAATCCTGGCTCATGACGCGATCCAAGACAAGCTCCGAGAGGAGCTCTGGTGGATTCCGCTCCGTGAACTTTACCACCTCTTCAGCAATAAGCGTCAGATGACCCATATAACCCATCCGGGTCTTATTTCGAGCTTGGGACTGCTCGCTGGATCTTTGGCCGTTAATAATAGCGTTGGTGATATCGGCAGCTTCAAATAATGAGATTGCTAGAGTAGGGTTATAGCCGCGATCCATAGGGCCATTGAATACTTGCTGGACGATGTCATAAACAACGTTATGGAGAAAGTTATTCCAGGGATATTTGAAAAAGAAGGACTATTCAAAATCAGCTTCCTAGAATGAACAATGTCATTTAAGATCACTCACTAGTATCGTTGGCACAACCTGATGTTCCACAAATTGCATTTTGAGGTAATCGCCGACAACTGGCTCAAGGCGCTGTTCTATATTTCCAGATAGAACCAACTCGGGTTGATGAGCTTGAACAGTGGGGACACTGCCCGCATTCTCGGACTCTGGTTGTAAAGGCTCGCGAGGAACTACACTCGGCTCACTTTCTATAGGCGCATCGTTCACAGCAGACTTCTCTCCGGTCTGAACTACTGAGGTAGTAGAGTTTTCTGTAGCCTCGGGGCTGCTTCTAGGAGACTCTTTAGGCACATCTTGTAACTGTAGTGTTTGGACGTCAATTGACATAGAAGGCCCATCATCATGCTGTTGACCTGGTGTCTTTACCTGATGCTGCCCAGTGCTTGTTTGGGACACCTGTGACGGCTGCGGATTGGCTGCGGGAACATCACTCTGTTCTTGCACTAACTTCTGAGTAGCGGTCGGCTTCTTTGGGGAGAGAGGCGCAACCATGAGCTCGGGATTTTCGAATTGTTGCTCATTGAGTTTACTATCGTAGACGTTTAGCCTTGGAGAGCTAAGAGGCTCTTCCACGAAATCGTCATCCTCCCTATCGAGAAATGACGAGACTTGTCCGGTAGGAATTTCGTCCTCGGCTTTCACAAACTCATGCGATGTATCCTCGGTCATTTCGCCCAATGGAGTAACTTCCTCAAATCCGTCGTCATCGGAAGCATTTGTGATCTCTAGGCGGCGGGCATCATCTGGAGAGGAGTGCCGCATGCGCATAGTCAGATCCTCCGATGATTGCACCTCCTCGCCACGATTTGTTGCAAGTCGGCCCTCGACTCGTAGTCGCTGGCGTTCTTCGTCTCGAAGCGCGATCACCTGCTCCGAACCAACTTCGTTGAGCAGCGCCATATTGCTACAATGGAGGAGTTCAGCCATGAGCTCACAGGTCTTGAACCGATCAAAACCGAGAGGCTCGATCTTCTCTCCAAAGGTAGAATCTAACCGCTGCCTTTGGGAAGAGGCCGGGGCATTGAGGATTTTTGTCATAAAGGCGGGGACGTGGTCGGCGAAGAGCCGGAGCAGAGTACCTAGATAAATAGGATCACGACTAGAGGGCAAGGCATTCGAATCAGGACCAACATCCGGATCATAATCGGAGTTGTTCTTGCGGATGACCTCAATGACAATTCCAACGCCAACAGTAAGGGGATTCCCACCATCAAGCATGTATCCAATTAGCTTCTGGACACAAGGCTTGGATACTAGCTGGCGTGTAAGCTCGTTCGGACCGATGCAGGCCTGCTCGTTCTGCGAGGCATTGGCGGAGACAGTGATGATAGCCTTGATGAAGTCTCCGGCAGACGTCTGCGTAGCAGGACTGTGCTCCGGCCCAAGAAATGAGAGTAGCGTCGGCATGACATCTTTACCGTAAAGCCACTGGTTCCAGGGGATTCATGTTAGCAATATACCGTGAGCTGACTGACCGATCGGTCTCTTTGGATATCTAAACACACCTCAACTATACCTTGACCATTCTCTATTCTCTCAAGGCTAATGATCTTAAGCAGGAGATCCATTATCATGGGACAGTCGACATGACGTAGCATGTTGGGGACCGCATCGTCAAGAGACTTCAAGAGATCCAGCATTTCCTCCGTCTTTTTATCGAACAAGGCTTCGTTAACCTTGGTAAAATAGCTCGCCTGAAGGGGATCTAAGGGAGACGGATGTTTGAGGAAATTCCAAAAGTTGCGCAGAAGTTGGTGGCTTTCCATCAGAGCTTCGTAGATAGACCAATTATCGGAGGAGAGGACTTCAGCAGCAACATAAGCATATCTGTTCCTCTTCTTCTCAGCCTCATCCTCCTCGGCTCCATCACTAGTTGCTCTTGATGAGGCACGCGGGCGGCCAAAAGATAGGGCCCTAGACTTGCCCTTCTTCTCATCCTCGTTAGCTTCCTCTTCGGGGACTTCTACAGGTTCAAGCTTCGGTGTGATAACATATTCGAGGAGCTTCTCGAGCACCTTGGACTCGCGTAAATACTCGATAAGCTTAGTATTGTGCTGTTTCAGCTCCTGGATTAGGTCGCTCTCATCAAGCAGATCTTCGAGTTGGAAGTCAGGCTTGTCGAGAATGGTATCGATAGTCGAGATGTTGGCGTAGCCGCCAAATCTCCAGAACATGTCGATTCGTAATGGGGGCGCGACGCCCTATGTCACTGCGCCGGTAGGGCTGCACCGGCACCGGACTGGCAAAAGTAGAGGTACGTGTGTCGAAGTGAATGCGAGTGCAGATGGACGGCGGGTGTAGGGAGTGGGATTCGGCATACGAAAGCCTGTCCTTTACCCGGGTCTGGTCGGATCGGATCCAAGTTTAGTGGCGCGCGCGCGGGGGAAAAATAAGGGCGAAATGAATTGTGATATCGTCACCGGTATAGGTTATGTGGGTTTCCCACGTGTGGTCAAGTAGGAAATTTCTCGATTTTTTTTTCCCGACAGTCGGTTCTATCCGTCGAAATGGAATGGGATTGTCGGGTTTTTGGTCCGGTACTTTTTTATTCGCACCTTGGAACCCCTTCAACTACATAAGCCAATTGCAAAATACTGCTAATCCAGATTTCGATGTCTGTATGCCAAAGGCAAGATACAGATGCGGATAGAAAATAAAGATATGATCAGGCAGCGATTGTGGATTCGGGCGCTTGTTGTTTAGCTAAATAAGGTAAGGAGGTATGTATGGTAATTGGATTTCTTGAGTCCACCCCGTCTTAATCCGCCGCTGGAGTCGAAGTAATAAAGGGGAATGGCTTGGTGGGGAAGGGGGTGAGGGGAAGGGCTGAGCAAGGTACCTTTAAGTAGTTAAAAAAAGAGAAGTGGCTAGACGAAGAGATGGAAACCACAACTTGTTCAAAAACGTGAAGAAGATATAGAAGTAGAAGATCAAGCTATGCTACTAGATAAAAATAGGGTTGAGATATGTATGTAGTAGATTGGAGGTTGTAGGTAAGAAAGAAGTGTCAGCCTGATAAGTCTCGAATTTCCCACTTCTTGGGTCTTGGCCGGGGAATTTGAACTGCGGAGACCGGGCGTGCCTGCTTCAATGCTTGATACACGTTATTACATGTTAGTCACCCGTACTTGCATGTGTCTACACCAGGTACCGTACATGGAGGTAGTACAAGTTGAGGTACGTGCACTTTTAGGCACATCATCTCACACCGTACCTAACGAAAAGTTGCGCAAACCACCCAGGACCCCGCTGCATAGGTAACTTAGGTACCTAACCTTAGGTACATAAGGTAGGCAGTTTAGCAGGTATAAATACAGTATTCTATACTCTCTGTTTTTACTGTATGCACCTCTCGAGCTTCTACCTCCCTAACCGTTAAGCTTATACGGCAATCTTAGAAACATACATCCCTTTTCTAAATAGAAGGGGTTGAATTATATCGCATGATTTGAACTAAGCTTCATGTAACATTAGGTTAAGGACTCAATTTTTTACGTACGTGGGAACAATATGAGAAATATGAGAATAAACTAGCTCAATGCTAGATCGTATATTCAAGTCTCTCCTCGGTATGCAATGATAGGGTATCTATTTTCTTCCATATCTACGATGCTGTCGCGACCATTGATCAGCCTGAACGATGCAATAGCACCACAGAAAATGACGCCAACCTTGGACTTAACAACGCCAACAAATCTCGTTACTTCTTCCCTTCATCAAGTTCGCCCTCCCTGCCAGCCCGCCCGCGCCGTTCTTTAATCTCCCACATCCGTAGGGTTAAAGCTTGTTTCTAGTCATTTTCCCGTACCGCCTCGAAGAACGGCGTGTTTCCGGTGTCTGCAGTTTTCTACGGCAACAATATCCGAGGCAGTATCTGAAGATAAACGCCCCAACCTTTGGCTTCGAGACCTCGCTACTCTGACCATAAAAGCTCTCGAGCTTTAACGGAAGCTAAGATCGCCAAAGTGACGCCAGAACGACACATCTTTTCATGTCCTATCGCATACCGTATTGGTGGTTTCAGTTGGCAAAAATCCTCAACTTACAGTCCACACACCCGGTTGCGATAACACACCGGATTTGAACATCAGCAACAGCCGCGGCTTTTGCAATGCCATTTAGAGATGTGCCATTTAGACCTTCGCCTGACCCGTTCGTCACGGGCTCGCGTATAATGCCCGGGGCCCACCTCAAACAGGAGACAAAGTGACCATGCGCGTCTACGAGCGTCTTCACATTTTTCCCTTCCTGAGCCAAATCCCAGCACCGTAACGTCTTGTCATCGGAGACACTGAGGAGGTATTTACCGCCTGGGTGAAATACCAATGCTCTAACCCAGTTATCGTGTCCGAGAAGGGTCTTAATACAGTTGCCTCTCGCATCCCAGATACGTATCGATTTGTCTCGAGAACCTGTTGCCATAAACTCCGCAGTGCTCGATGCTGGAGGCGGCTTTTTCAACCCAGCAAGTGGCGCAAGATATTGGTAAGTTGATGGAGGAGCAAGAGTGCAACACTCGACTGTATGTTCATGGCCGACGAGTGTCAGCTTGCTTTCAGGGTTAGCAAGCGAAATATCCCAGAGGCGAGCAGTCTGATCATTTCCGGCAGATAGAAGATAACGGCCATCCGGCGACGGACAAACATCTCTGACCCAATCTGCATGTCCTCGTATCGTTTTGACGCAATAGCCCGTCGTCACGTCCCATAAACGTAACGTCTTATCCCTAGAAGCAGATACGAGAAGGTTGCTAGAACTTGGCGCACCCGCTGCACCTGACGGGATGAAGCGAACGGCGCTAACGCTATGGTCATGCCCGGGTAGAGTTCTAATATTCTTGTATTCATCGGAAGGATCCCACAGCTTGATAGTTAGGTCACTCGAGCACGATGCCAGAAGGGTCCCACCCCTAGGACCACCGAAATCCACATCCAGCACTGCTTTTGTATGCCCCTTGATTGTGCGCTCCTGCTCTCCCAACTCCCAATCCCAAATTTTTATCGTATAGTCCTCGGAACCCGTGGCTAAGGAAGAGAAGACAGGGTGGAAGGCGACGCAGGTAATAGGGCCCCTGTGAGATTCCAGGGTATGACGTGGCGGAGACCGAGGGAGCCAACTAGACGGGTCTTGGTTCCGCTTGGATAGAGAGGTAGGTGTCGCATTATCCAACTCCGACTGTAGAGTAGCCGTCTTCGACTCTAGTTCCATAATCTAATATCAACGCGACATATGTTAGTAGAGAGCAGCAGCATACAAGAGGGGACTTCATCTCCCATACCTTCTTCTGTAATCGCACAACGCTAGTCCATTTCTTTTCCAAAAGACCCTCATATTTCTTAGAAGTAGCAGTATCGAACGTGTCACCAAGGTTCAGTTCTTCTCTTAAGGCAGCTGCTGTGTTAGGCAGGTTGTTTGATGACAGGTACGCAATAATGGCCTTGTGTCTAGGCTATAAGTTAGCATCATCTATTATCTTATTGTTCTTTAAGTAGTGGGAGGGGGGAACTGAGATGGAAAACGTACAGCTCTTCAGCTTGTCGAGGGGTCAGAATTTGGCTCATTTTGTCCAGTTCACTGCACGAGGCTGCTCATAGACGTAGTAATGCAAAAGTATGAAGGTCCTATGCTTTGGAGAGGTTGCGGGCAGTCAATATAACCTCAGAAGGCTATAAGCAGCACTCAGGAGAACCAGGAGGCAACAAAGAGTGTAGTTGCCCGCACACAATGCGTCGGAGTCTCAGAAGATGATCACACACAAAGATGTGTAGACGACAATAATGTGTCACCAAAGCCTTGTTTATGCTTGTTACCAGGGAACAAGAGACGTCGAAAAGGCTTCCTAGGCCAAATCGAATGAAGCTTTGTACCAGAAGTAAAAACGACACGAGGGCCAAACAGTAGACGAACTGCTGGCAACCCGCGAGGGAGAACCAGTAGGAAGGTCAACCAGGCAGAGTATAAGGTAGGAGAAAAGGCGATATAGGTATTGACGTAGGTGTAGAAGTAGGTAGGTCGATTGGCGGGTTGGCGGGTTGGCGGATCGAAACGTTTAATAGGAAGTTATAGGCCGAGACTTGGTTGGATCATAATTTAGGGTTGCGCCGGAGAGAAGAGATATAATTGAAGCTGTCGCTAAAAATGCGTAAAAGGGAGAAAATCCAGATTCAGTCAAGTAGATACGTTCGTATACGTTCGGGGCAACATGTCGGAATGTGAAGGAAAAGGCACGATCGTCAATTTGTCGCTTCTGAGACCTTTTAACAGGAGAGGGAAAATAGGAAAGACAACAATCCTAGATATTGACTTGTTTCTTGATGTGTTCCGGTAATGCATTAACTACCTAGGTACCATTACTACATTTAGGTAATGTACAAACATCAATACTTTTTGGGTAGATATGAGGTACATTCTAGGGAAGTGTAAGGAAGCATGCCCATTGGAGATGGAGACCCGACAAGACATGTGAAGCCACATGGCTTTGCCCAGCCTCCGGGGAAACAGAGGAGCACAAGCCACACCTCTCGATCTGTAGGTACATGGACATATATACCCGACCTGTGTCTATTTCCATAATCGATAGGGAGTACCTACTGCGCAAGTACTACATGTAGTGCGGCGTACCCGGGCATGCGCGTATGCAGGTAATAGACAAGACATAAAATCTACAGCAATAGCATTCATCGCTTAAAGATACCTCATGATCAACATTAGGAGGTACGTAAACACTCAACTTGTAGAAACGAAATGACTGAACCTGAATATGATTTTTTTATTTACTGTCCAAGTTTCATGTTGGAAATTATGACCAAATAGAATAATTATAAAGCTATGACTATGTGAATACCGGCACCAAAACGACCTGTTTACACGAGGGTTTATGAGATACTTACGTGTATGCAAATAAATACAAGTACTGGTTGCCCCGATGACAACCCTAGCCCGATCTAATAGCACCAGGAGGCGCTACGTCAACAGGTCAAGCGCGGTACCCCAGTATTTATTTTTGAATCCGGCCAATCAACTATCCGATAATACCGGATAGATACATATATGTACATACTTATGTACATAACCTAAGACATACATTGTACATATGTAGAATAATAATAAATCAGCAAGCAACAACCTTCCATCGTCATCGTCAACTTCAAAGACGCATGTCCCAATTTTGCGCCCTACAACGTTCGAAATTCCACGCTCTACAGTCCGACCTTTCTAATATACCTCTCTCATTAAAGAGTAAGAGGGTCAAACTTCAAATAAAGCAAGCGCCACCTTTGCCGTTACGTACCTTATACCCGATACCCGATATACTGTGTATCGCCTCAACAAAACATATATTTTTTTAAGATTGCTCCCCGCAAAATCATCCAAGTCTTTGAAGTTTCCACAAGGTGAACCGTGGGAAAGAGTAAACATAGAGCATAATATATTGAATATATTGATTGGCTTAACTCTAAAGCTTATCCCATGAAAACAATGTATGTCTAATCTTTCTGCCCCTTCATTATAACCATTCTTGTTCCCCTAGCCCATGACCCGAGGCCTACAAATTCTCTACGTCTCTACACAAGACATTCACCCACTCCTTTTTCCATGTGCCCTACGAATTCCTAAGCGCCTCAGCTACCATAACAGCAATAAAGCCGTTGTTAGCTGCTGCTTCCGCGAGGAACTTGAAGCCTGAGGTGAGGAACGGGGGGGCCAGGGACGGAGCACGGTGGACGAGAAACGGGGAACAAGAGATGAGGAAGACGCATTGATCTTCTCTCGACTCCATCCTAAACTCTTTGTCTCGCCACGCTTCTCGCAACCTCTACATTCAAAATGCGTCTTCGCCTCCTCAAGGTGCCAGTTCTACCAAAACTAATCAAGAGAGTAGTCTCGATTTTATCGCATCGTCGCGCCCGAAGGAAGTCGACCCAACCCACCCCTAATCGCAAAGCACATAACACATCAGTATCGCCGACGGTCGATCGTAACTGTCCAATCCTGAATATGGCGGACGGAGAGCCCGACTACAGCTCTCTTCCATTAACAGATAGATGGGTACACAAGGTGCGTGCCATCATCATATATTCCCCCTTGTTCCGGCTTTGGTACTAAAACAATATTGGGAGAACAGGTTTGGAAAGTTCGTAAGCAGGCGTACGAAGAGGCAGCGAAGCAATTTGAAATCACTCCCGACGAATACGATCCAGCCTTTCGACCATTCAACCAAGATCCGAGTTTGTGGAAGGGTGCGGTCGCAGATTCAAACGTCGCCGCGCAGTCCGACGGTATTGCAGCATTCTGCGCGTTCCTCAAGTTCGGTGGTAAGGAATGTTGCGTTCGTTCACGTGGTCATGTTGTCACTCCCATCGTCGAGAAGGGCCTTGTATCCACAAGGCCTACCACCAAAGCCTCCTCGGTCGAGGCTCTACTGCTTCTTATCGAGCTCGATGCCGCCGGTCCCATTGTCGAGGATATTCTCCCAGCTGTATCTGCGAAGCAACCCAAAGTCATCGCAGCTGCTCTAGCAGCCCTCACGACCATCTTCCACAGCTACGGCTGCAAGATAGCCGACCCGAAGCCTGTCCTTAAGATCCTTCCCAAAGCATTTGGACACGCGGACAAGAATGTGCGAGCCGAAGCAACCAATCTAGCTGTTGAATTTTACCGATGGCTAAGGGATGCGATGAAACCTATGTTCTGGGGTGATTTAAAGCCCACACAGCAGTCTGATCTAGAAGCCCAGTTTGAAAAGATTAAAGCAGAGCCGCCGCCAAAACAGGAACGCCTTCTACGAACTCAACAGGCAGCCTTGGCTCGTGCTCCGCCCCCCGGGGCTGAAGAGGACGTGGACGACGATGATGGAATCGATGAACCAGCCGAAGTTGATGCCTTCGATCTTGCGGAACCCCAAGACGTCTTATCCAAAGTTCCAGCTAGTTTTCACGACAATCTTGCATCTTCGAAGTGGAAGGACCGTAAAGAGGCTCTTGAGGCGCTCTTTGCTGTACTCAACGTACCAAGAATCAAAGATGGCGACTTCAACGAGATCAACCGTGGCTTAGCGAAGTGCATGAAAGACGCCAATATAGCCGTCGTCACCCAGGCGGCCCAATGTATCGAAGTACTCGCAAAGGGTCTTCGGAAAGGCTATGGTAAATACCGGTCAATCGTCATGACGCCAATCATGGAGCGTTTAAAGGAGAAAAAGCAAACCGTTGCGGACGCACTAGGAGCTGCACTAGACCAAGTCTTTCTAGCGACAAGCTTGTCTGACTGTTTGGAGGAAATCCTATCCTTTCTCCCCCACAAGAATCCTCAAGTAAAGGAGGGAAGCATGAGGTTTCTTGTCCGCTGTCTCAGAACAACCCGGGATCCCCCGAACAAGCAAGAAGTCGCCAGTATTGTAGAAGCCGCGAAGAAGCTACTTGCAGAGGGTAGCGAAGGGTTGAGGTCCGGTGGTGCCGAGGTTCTAGGTACAGTCATGAAGATTATTGGTGAACGTGCCATGAACCCTCACCTAGAAGGCTTAGATGATATACGAAAAACTAAAATCAAGGAGTATTTCGAGAAGGCCGAGGTTAAAGCCAAAGACAAGCCGAAACCAGCCCCAGCTCCGGCAGCACGGGGTCCGCCCGGTGGTCCAAAGAAGATGGGTGGCGGTGCCAAAAAGACCGCTGGGACCGCCAAGAAAGCCGCGCCGGTCGCACAAGAGCCCGCTTCCCTTGCGCCACAGCCGACATCTCGAGCCGCCCCGGGCAGTAAGCTTGGAATGCCCAAGTCTTCTGGCTTGTCCGGGTTAAAAGCACCGCAGAGGCGCCTCGGCGCCCCTGGCATCGCATCCCCCCGAAGAGCGCCAGCCGCTGCTGCCCCTCCGCCTCCAGAGGAAGAAGAAGAGGAGGCCCCGGCATCACCGCCACAGCCAAAACCTCGAGTCGGGCTCGGAAGAGGTGGTCTTGCAGCACGGTCGTTAGCGAAACCTACCGCGCCCGCCGTAACACCTTCGGCACCCTCACCACCTCCGTCAAGTGGGCTTACAGCCATAGAGCGTGCTGAACTAGAGGAACTACGCGCGGCAAACGAACGGCTCACTAAGCAAGTAGATGAGATCCGACACGAACGAAGCAAGCTCATGTCGGAAGTGCAAGAGCTCAAAAATCACAACGCCGGGCTTATCGAGGACCACACGAGAGATGTGCTTAGCATTAAGGCCAAAGAAACTCAATTAGTACGAGCGAGAAGTGACGCAGAAGCAGCCGAGCAAGTAAATGAAAGACTCCGGCGGGAGCTTGAACGTCTCAAGCGTGCACTCAGTAGGGCGGAGGGGCTTGGCGTCTCTGGTGGCATTGGAAGTCCGGGAATGACGAGTCCTACTCCCGACGACATGGGCATCTACCGTGATGGCGCAAACTACCCGGGAGCTAGGACGAGCAGAATGAGCTTCGCCAGCACATTTTCAGAAGAGAAAGAAAACGGCGATGCACCACATAACTACCCTAGGAGCAAGTTAAGTCCAGAGTTAAGATATGGCAGTGGTTCAAGCGGAAGGGGAAGCCCTGCTCGCGGCTTTAGGAGCGCAGCAATAGACGAAGGGGTTAGGCACAACACCGAGTCCGCCGCGAGTTCGATGGCCGCCGGAACCGGTAGTAATGGAGCCGAGAATTGGAAGAGGGCAGCAGAAGTCACGAGTCAACTCAAAGCAAGAATAGAGCAGATGAAGGTAAGCTAGAGAAGTATCCCATCGCTTAATATGAAGAGTAGTAACTAATCAATCGCAGGCGAAGCAGGGGTTCAGCCGATCGTGAAGTAGGGCTTGTTCAAGTGTCTTGTCATCAGGAAATGGCGTTTGTTAGGAGACGAGTCTAAAAGAGGGATCAGGGGTGCGTCATCGGGTGCATTTTCCTGGCGTCGGATTACATACCCCAGTCTATTTTCGTTCGCTACTAAAGCGTTCAGAAATATCATGATAATTATGTTTAGACTCGATTACCTTGTCATTAAAAATAAGGGTGCATTTATACGGATTGAAAGGGGGGGATCATTCAGTCCTATTAGATTTTAATACGGGATGTGGTTTAATATCTTGCACCGTCCTATTTCCCAAGTAGTTTGTGTGTCTATAAACGGTATAGACATGCTGTGGAGTTATACCCGTGCTATTCACACGCAACATGTACCTAGAAATAGAGATGATGTTGTGGCTACTAAGATATGCCTAATCATAAGATTGTTATATTGGAGGTCGACGGTCGACTGTTGAAGCCCCTGGTAAGACTAATTTATGAGTTCATACGACCGCGAGAGCGTAGATGCTCTCAGTATTATTCTGCAATATGCTTCGCTAGGTATAGCTGCTCCTATCCCAATCTATACACACCAGACCAAAAGCGGCCAGGCATTTCATTCATTTAATATTTACTAGTTCGCAGCCGAGCCTTAATATCTTCACCTTACAGTGAGTACGCGATCTCGATTCATGGTCGATTAGAAGCCATATAAGTGCCTACATACCTATGTAAGATACGTCTCGAGCCTACAAGCTAGACTTCTAAGTACAGATGCCAAGATAGCTATATGCTTGCTAATCCTTGATTTTCAGGACGGCCTTGCCAAAATTATCGCCTTTAAGCATTCCCACGAACCCTTCAGCCGCCTTGTCGATACCCTCGGTGACGTGAAGCTTGGCCTTGAAAGATCCTTCTGCGATCCATTTTTGAACTTGTTGCTGGTGCTCTTCGAAGTATGCAGGCCCGAATTCGGGTTGTGCAACAAGGAAACCTTGCATCGTTATGAGCTTTGCAATGAGCTGGAAGAGATTCTTGACACCATATCTTTGGTCAGGTGGCACGTTGTACTCCGAAATCTACTTGTTCGTTAGCACAGACAGGCTATCAAAAAGGGCAAGGAAGGGAAGATGGTACCATTCCGCAAACTGGAATTCGTCCGAGGGTATTCATATTCTCCAAAGCAGCCTCGAGCTGCTCTCCCCCAACGTTCTCGTAGTAGATATCAATTCCGTTGGGTGCGAGGCGCTTCAGCGCATCGAATGCGCTCTCCTTCTTGTAATTAAAACCACCGTCGAATCCGAGCTCATTTATGATATAATCTAGCTTCTCATCAGAGCCAACCGAGCCAATGACTTTAAGTCCTTCATTCTTCGCGACTAGACCCACGACCTGCCCAACAGCGCCAGCAGCCGAACTAACGAATATTGTTTCTCCCTTCTTTGGTTTTCCAATCTTATGAAGACTCGAATAGGCCGTTAAGCCAGGCATGCCTAAGGGGCCTAGAAACATGCCAAGATCGAGATTATGCGGGTTGTCGATCTTGCGCACCTTGGCAGCGGAAACATCAGGAACTGTGGCGTACTCGGCAATAGGAAGAAATGCGGACACAATATCTCCTTGGCGGAAATCCGACGTGTCCGACTTTAGGACTCGGGCAATGGTGCCATTTGAGAATGGGCCGTTAAGATCGAAAGGCGGCGAGTAAGACTTGACACTAGCATCACGCATCCTGCCGCGGAGATAGGGGTCGAAGGAAGCATAGAGTATCTCAACGATCAGGCCGCCTTTTGGAGGAGCCGCATCGAGGTCAATGGGCCGCTCCTCAACGGCAAGATGCTCTCCTGGAACAGGAAACCCAGTAGGGACCTTTTTGAAAATAAGAGACTTATTTGGCGCCATTGTTGAATCACGCGAAGTCGACTACCCCTCAGATTTTAACTGTAGTAGAATATGGGCTGACGTCTGGCGAGGATAGGTTAATCAAGGTCAGGTAAGAGTCAAAGTATATTTCTACTCCTTTAAATATATACTGTTTATTTTCTGGATGTGAAGCAAGTTTATGTGTACGATGTAAGTCGAAAATGTTAAAGGTAGATGACGTCTTGATACGTTTGCAGCTAACTACTAAACGGGTCTACCTCCGATGCTATTGACTTAGATTTATATCATCATAGATGTAAACGGGTTTCATATTTTTTCGACGGGTATCTATGGATACCAACCTAGGTTATGAGCTCGTGAGGTCCCACATGCCTAGGTAAAATTCTAGGCAAATTACCTAGTATTTGCAAATTGCAATCCCGATACGGAGTTCATGGCCGTGTTGATTTATAATCCAACCTAGAAATACTACACTGAAATACCTAACCTAACATAGGTACGTAACATAGGTAGGTACGTATGTAGGTATCATACGTGTATGTATGGATCGATGGAGGTATGCATGATATAAGTCAGACCATGCCTACATACAAGTACCTACCAAGCGTCACACGATGATATACATACACTTCCTCATTCGGCCTTTATCCCGACCATCGTCTCTCACCCGCCCGCCACGCGAAAAATATTCTAAACCCTGTCCCGCATCTTGTATTTATACCGATCTTGACGTGCAACATCCAACAGCCGCATATTAGCATTAGCATATACCGTAGGTACATAATGTATTACAGTCCCAAGATTTCCTTCCGGCTCACAACTTCAACTGCTATCACTACCTACCTACTATGAAGATACCCAAGTTTGCCAAGGTAAACCCGACACTGTGCTCGACATATTATAGTATAAGATATATTACATAGCGAGGCCTACTTTGTATACTTCTCGCGAAGTTACTTACTGCCATGTTATCTAGCTTTATAAGATTGACACCATCATCCGAATGAAAGTTGAATCAGTATAATGAGATAGTGGTCATCAATTACTCTCCAAGGATTCCATAAGTCTCTATCCCAAAATGCTTAAGCTGACTGTTCACCCCCTTGGTCCTGCTCTGCTTGCTCCTTTCGGTCCCTCCGCCACACAAGCCACCAGGAAGTCAAGATTGCAGCGATTCCGATACTCAGGAACCCGAGACAAATTCCATACGACACATGGTACGAGGGGCCAAACACTGTGCTGTAGACATGCGGGCCTGCGATGCCGCTAAATTGCGCCATAGCATTCGTCCACCCAATACCTAACCCAGATGCAACTGTCCCCCTGAGTGCTCGAATACGCTCCGGCCATATTACTGGATATGCCGAGCCCGCGCACGAGACGGCGACAATCAAGAATATATACCTCACTACCGAGTTGCGGACTGTAAAGAGAATTATATAGCAAACAATGATAGTCGACTCAACTGCGAAACTGTCAGCATCCACAACAATACGTTCCGTGATTGACTCTACACTCACTTATAACAGCAGTAGTCCACGGCCTAATAGTCTTTTTATGCAAAAAGTAACCTAAGATATTCAAGAAGAGGAACGCGGATAGGTAAGGAGGCTGTAATGTAGACATTAGATATAATCTTAGGTTAGAGGCAGGTCCATCTTCTTACAATATTCATAAGCTGCGAGTTGGACGTCGTCGTGAAGCCCAGTTCATAAATGACAGTGGGCAACGCTGTCCCAATACCAAAGCCACCGATTCCATGGCAGATCCAATACAAGGTAAATGTATAAAAGGTGGGATCTTTGATAAGCTTTTTCAGCGATTCGAAATCCCAGTACCCTTTTCTTCCCGAGGGGGCAGTCTTTTCGAGACGGTCTCGTAAAAAGTCTCGCTCCTCGTCTGTGAGCATCAGGGCTGTCTCGGGGTAGTCCGGTAGCCATAACGCCCCAACCGAGAGCACAATAGCAGGCAAACCTTCAATCAAAAAAAGCCATCGCCAACCAGCAAGACCGCCTAGTCCATCCTAATGATAAGATCGTCATTAATGACACTCGCTAATCAGGAGCAAAATTCCCCACGCAGCTGGGTAATCATAAATAAGACGGTATGAGATAGGGTTGCTTACCATGAAGCCAATGGCATAAGCAAGCAGGCCGCTCACCGCCGGAGAAAGCTGACCAAGCGAGTAGAAAATAGCAATCCTCTGTGGCATTTCAATAGGCTTATACCAGAAGGCCATGTGGTATAATACGGCAGGATAGAACCCAGCTTCGGCCAGCCCAATGGCAAACCGAACACACATCATCTATAGGTATACATCCATGTTAGAGTCTACAAGATCAATAGCTCCGAATCTCAGAGAACCCATAACTACTTACACCTGTGAAGTCCTGTGCTGCTGCAGATGAGCAGGCAGATATACCCCAGCCGAGGATGAGTACAAACATCCATCTCGAAGGTGAAAACACCTTCATCGCGAGGGTGTTCGTGGGTTCAAAAACCATGTAGCTATAGGAGAATATAGACAATGTCCAGGCCCATTGAGAAGGGCTCAGTCCTAGCTGCTTCTTGATACCTGTGCCATTTTCAAGATTGATGATAGCTGCATTTGAATAATTGGAGGAGTCGATAACTCTGAAGACGTAAACCAATGAATAAAAGCCAACTAGCCACATATCTATCTTCCTCATCACGACCCTCTCAAGCTTCAAGTCGGCGCCAGATAAGTCTTGATCCATAGCAACATCGGTGTCAGTGCCGCGTTCCGAGACTGCCGTTTCATCGACTTTGATGTCGAATTTACTACTACTGGAAGCCATGTTGAGATTTGCTAGGCTAGTAGTATACAAATAGCCCTATGGGAAACAACCTATACCAGAGTTAGATATAACAGATTCTCTTTTAAAACCTCTGATAGGTGCAATGTCGGACAAGCGGACTTGCCTTGAGGAACGAGAAAAGAGTGGCCAGCCGAGTCGGCGGCGGTAGCCTTTACATAGATAGATGAGCGTGGCCCGAATTACGACGTCAAGGGGTTGGCGGCGGTTTGCCGAGCTTAAGCTAGGCACGACCTTTTATTGCGTTATCACATCATATTATAAGAGTGTACATCGGAATTAGAGACCCTCTACGGTTAGTTCTATATTCCAGACCCTGGGAAGAGCTAACGGAGATAGCAAGTTAATCTCTATCACTTATGACCTCCGTGGCGAAAGCGAGGGGGGCAACCGGGCTCCGGTGACCCCTATTTCGAAGTCTGCCATCAACTACCGCGAGAAACCAGCCGTTGCGGAGGGGCACCCGATGCTCTCGGGACCGTATTAGGTATTCCGGCAGTTCCTCTAACCTCATTGATGGGTTTCCGAGCACGCCTGCGATGAGGTCGATGAGAACACAAAGCACGCAACTACCCCCGCAACCACCCCACGACAAGTCGACCAATCACATTAAAAGGCATACGCTATACTCCATGGAAGAACACTTACAACTAACTAGTTTGACTAAATATTGTGATAAAAAACAATATCTAGTGTACATAGTTTGGTTGATATAAGACAAGACTATCTTGGTCGGACTGAGCTACGGATATTTATCCGTCCAAAAAAGAAATTAATAAACATTCTTTGAGTCAATCAGTATGGCCCCTATTGCTATCGAGACGCCAGCGGCAAGCCAGCTGCATGATAGTAAAGTTCTAGTGAAACCGTGGACTCGGCCAACTAAGACTTCAGAGAATCTTGAATATGCAGAACTGCCCAAGATTGATCTGTCGCGGTTTGACGAGCCCGGCGGCAAGCAAGAGCTTGCTAAGAAACTTTACGATGCCGTCACTAAAGTTGGTTTCTGGTCCGTAGTCAATACGGGCATTGATGATGAACGTGTTCTCCGTCAGTTCAGCATCGGGAATACATTTTTCAAAGAGCCCCTAGAGGAGAAAAGACGGTTTCCCTGTAACTTTGCTGAAGGCGAGTATTTCGGATACAGAGAGAATTCCCGCTGGATTGGCGACACGGGAGTCAAGGAGAATGTGGAGATGCTGAATATACCCAAAGCCATTCCAGCTTTTGACAACGTCGGGAAGCACAGGATTGTCGAGCAGAATTGGGGCGAGATTGCGTCCTTTCATAGAGATCTGTTCGACAAGGTGATCCGGAAACTCTTCGTACTCATTTCCATCATCCTTGAACTTCCAGAAAATTACCTCGCAGATGCGCACGCTTATGACGAGGAGTCGGATGACCACCTCAGGTACATGATCTACAACGTAAGAAGTCAAGAGGAATGGGACAAAGCCCAAGCCTACTCTAAGGGTGGTCACACCGACTTTGGCAGCTTGACTCTGCTATTCTCTCAACATGTTGCCGGGTTACAGATACGCACGCCAGAGGGCGAGTGGAAATATGTGAGCCCCGTAAAGGGTGGTAGTAAGTCGACCTCTCCGCTACGCATAGTCCTATACTAACCCAGGGGTATTAAGTCACTTGCAACGCGGCGGATACTTTGACGTTTCTAACAAACGGTAAATACCAAACTCTCCAAATCAGTTGCCCGTGCACCAAGCTTACCAGACTATGAGGGTTCATCAAGTCAACTGTTCACCGTGTGGTCACGCCGCCGAAAGATCAAATCAACATTCCCCGACTTGGTTTACTCTATTTTAGTAGGCCTGGCGCGAACACGCCTATGAAGACTGTCCCATCTCCGCTGCTAGACCGTCTTGGGATCATTCCAGCGGAAGATAAAGACCCGAACAAGCCAGTAGTCTCCGGGACTGAGTACGTGAGAGCACGAGTTAAGGATGTGCATTATAAGACTATTCTCGACAAGCGTGAGGGGACTTCTTTCGAATTCAAGGGATTGAGTGTACAGAATTACTACAAGTAGTCCGATGATGATTTATCCCAGTGTGCAATTCTATACTCTCCCAAGCTACTCCTATAAGGGTCTTGATATATAGGCGAAAGAATGAGGATTACAAAGACTGAGCTTATAAATCGTTCGGGCTAAGGGAATTATATTTGCCTAGTTTAAGATTGGGTAATAATACACACATTTCCGCGTATAAGTGGTATACACTACGATTCATCCATGTATCGATGCAATAACTAGGTCCTCTTGATGTAACAATGATAACAATCTTTCACCGCCTCTATCAAGTGAAGAGTTAGAAGCCACTGGGACCGAGTAAATAAATACACGCCGTACAGTGGATCAAGGCTTGCCGGTTCGATTATATTCCGATACAGCCTCTGTTATATAGAAAAACTAATAGCATTTGAATTTCTATGAACCAGCTTAACATCTTAAAGCTCGAACATTTCATAGAGGCTTCCTTCGACATCAATTTAACAATAAAAGAAAGAAAATGACATCAATAATAAGTTTTCCAAAATACCTAGTGCTACCCAGGTATTCTAGCCGCTACGAACTTTTTCTAAACCCCATAGTATAGAGTTCCCCTTGGATATGGTGTAGGTACGTAATGATTATCGCTATATAACATCGAGTATTACATAATTAGACCTCGGCGTGTTGACTTCAGCCATAAAGGCCCCCTTTGGTCCCCTTCCTCTTTACCTTCTTCGCTATAACACAGCATATCTCAGCACAGCAGAGGCAACTATTATCAACCACCAAGGTAACAATGGCATCGAAAATGAAAGCATTGGTCGTCGCCGAGGGCAAGACGGCAAAGGTCCAAGATATAGATGTCCCCAAACCTAGCGAGGGAGAAATCCTAGTCAAAGCCCACTATGTCGCTCAAAACCCAACGGACTGGAAGAGCATGCTGTCCGTACCTCCTGGTCGGATACTGGGCTGTGACTTTGCCGGTACTGTGCAAGACACCAACGGCTCCCACTGGCGAGAGGGACAGCGTGTCGCTGGTTTCGTCTTTGGATCATCTACCAATCCGCCTCGAGGAGCATTTGCGGAATACATCGTCACCGAGGCAAGCCTGGTCTACCCAATCCCGGACAAAGTCTCCTACCAAGATGCCGCCGCGATCCCGCTCGCCTTTGCAACCGCTATGCAAGCCATGTTCGGGAGGCTAAAACTGCCTGAGCCAAGCAAGCCGGCCAAGACTGCCTTTCCCTTCCTTATCAACGGGGGCACGTCAAGCGTGGGCCAGTACGCTATCCAACTAGGAAAATTAGCCGGCGTCTTCGTCATCGCTACCGGATCTTCCCAGCATCATGAGCTTCTAAAGTCGCTAGGTGCCGATGCCGTCATAGACTACAAGGATCCCAATTGGCCCGAGCAGATCCAGAAACTCACGCACCACGGGCTCGAGTTTGCTTTCGATTGTATCAGCGAGAACGGCACGGTAGAGGCCGTTGCAAAGGCTGTATCACCAACCAAGGGCGGCCACATTGTCACCACCCTCCCTGTGGATAAGATTAGAGAGAAGATCGAGAATAAGAAGATCAAGCTAGAAAGCACAATCGTCTACACCGTATTCGGGCGGCCTATAAAATACGGCACCTTTGACAACTGTGGAGAGCCAACTCCGCAAGACAAGGCCTTGTGGGAGAAGTACTTGACGATGCTCCCGGAGTTGCTGTCCAGCGGTAAAATCAGGCCCAACAAGGTGAGAGAGCTTGGTGGCTTCGATAGTATATTGACTGGCTTCCAAGAGCAGCAAGAGGGTAAGGTCAGGGCTGAGAAGCTAGTTTATAAGATCTCATAGGCCGTATGAGATCAGAGACACCACGTATATAGAATCCTATATATTAGTCATGCTTCAATGGCATTAGCTTGTGTTGATAGCAGATTTAATAATCTTATACTGGAAGGTCCAACTTTGATATACTGGTCTAGTATTGGTCATCTCATAGCGACTCTATTACTTGCCCTGTTGGTAGTCAGCTCGCGTATAGCCTATGCAGTATATTAGATGGCCTTTGCAGAACCACCATTGTTAATCTATGTCCAAACACCGCACCACACACAACCACCATATTTTTAACACAGTACCACCCGAAATCAAGGGGGATTTCTATGCCCGATGCCCGAGTTTACGAGGGGTTATTGTGTCGAATTTTTTCCATGGCCCAAATAGGAAAGTAACTCAATGGGCAGTATCTGGCACGTGCGCAATTATGTAAACTCGGGCATATTGTGCAGCCCGCAGGGCTGCCTCCAGTATATGTAGAGAGCCTAGGTAGGAATAGCATCCCAAGAAAATAGAATACATCCTCGGCGTATAGCAACTTCTGAATTATCTTTTATTTTGGTCATCCCGTACGGTGTTGGGCCCAACAGTCCGTTATAGTCTATCGGTATCTACTTAACAGGTCCGAGCCTCAACTCATGCCGCCTTCTTATCCGCCTGTTTCTCTGACGGGAAGGGATTATACGAGCCTCGGTCGGCCTGCAGTCCTCGTAGCTTCTCGATCACCTCGTCTAGGGGCACAGGCTTACCCCGGTCCTGGGTAGATGTATCATCTCGGTATCGCACATTCACTTGTCGACCTTTCATCTCCTCGTCTCCGACAACTAGATTTTGGCGATCGCGTCAGTATTCACGTTGACTCAAAGAAGATAGTTTTAACAACTCCAATGGGACGAAATGCTTACCGAATATAAAGTTGTACTGTGCTAGCTGTGCACTTCGCACCTTCTTGGGAAGCGTGTTTCCGCTAGTGTCGATATCGACGAATATCTTCTCCTTCTTGAGAATATCCCTAACTTCTTGTGCATATGACATGAAGCCCATTCCGACTGGGATAACCATCACTTGACGCGGGCTCAGCCAGAAAGGCCACTTTCCTGCAAAGTGCTCGATGAGAATACCTAAATAATTAAACGTAAGCAGTCTAATCGTCTTTATGTTCCCGGACGTTCGACATTCTTACCCATGAATCTCTCTATAGATCCCGCCATAGCGCGATGAATGATAACTGGGCGTGCGCAACCGGGACTCAAAGGCTTGATGACTCTCTCCCGTTTCGCTCCACTCTCACCTGTGCCTGGGTTCGCCAGGGCCGCGTTACCCGGTTGGACTTCGCTTGCTTTAGCTCCTGCCGCCTCTGCAGCAGGCTCATCCTGCTTGGGTTTTGCAGCGTGCGTCTCGGCTGTGACATATTCGAGACCAAAGTCTACCAAGTGTTAGCAACGAATATGTAGTATCATCGGAAGGGATATTACTCTCGGGGCCCATAAAGTCAAGTTGAATTGTAGCACATTGCCACTCCTGAATATACGGTCAGCTCGACTCCTTGGACTAGCAACACACGAGGTTTGAAATGAAAGCCAAACGCGGTGCTTGCACTGCGATCAAGCTATATGATAGAATAAGTAGGTATACTAACTCGGTTCAAACAGTCTAGGATCTTGATATCGATCTAAAGTATAGTTAGCAAAGCTGTAGATGATCAGAGCAGAACCACTTAAAATATTACCTTAGGTCCGTAGAAGGCGCCATCCCCCTCATTGAGAGTCCACGACACGCCACTAGGTCCGGCCGCAAACCCGTTAAGAGCCTCTTTTAGCATGCTCTCGGCCGTGTCCCAGGTCTCAATCTGGCCCATAAACTTTTCGGGGCGGGTAGATAGTTGAAGCTTGAAGGTAAATCCCAGGAGGCCATACATCTCGGAGAGGAAATCAAACAAATCGGAAATCTCACTTGTGACCTGGTCGAGTCGGCAGAAGATATGGGAATCGTCTTGCTGGAATCGACGGACGCGAGTAAGGCCTGACAGGGCACCGCTCGCCTCGTTCCGGTGGAGGACACCAAAGTCGGCGAGACGCAATGGCAGCTGACTGTATACCTTGGGACTGTGAGCAAACATGAGGAAATGGGCCGGGCAATTCATGGGCTTCAGGCCCCATTTCTCCTTATTCAGATCTATGACAAACATGTCCTCTTGGTAATACTCCCAGTGTCCGCTCATCTTCCAAAGCTCCGAATTGAAAATGTTGGGAGTAATGACTAAGGTAGGCAGTTAGTTAACCATGATTGGAAAAGGGGGGGGATAGGGGTCGGTAATAGACAAACCTTCTTGATAATCACGTTTGTGGTACTGATCTCGGATGTATGCGAGAAGCGTATTGTAGATCCTTGTACCGTGAGGCAAGAAGAAGGCCGAGCCAGGAGAGAGTTCGTGAAACATGAAGAGCTCTTGCTCTTTACCGAGCTTTCGGTGATCTCGCTTGGCTGCCTCCTCCAGGAATTTCTTATGCTCTGCCATCTTCTTCTTATCCGGGAAGGATACACCATAAATACGTTGGAGGGAATCGTTCTCCTGAGATCCTAGAAAGTATGATGCCGAGTTCTTCATGATGGAGAATGCTTCGATTCGACCAGTGTCAGGCACATGCGGCCCACGGCAAAGGTCGATCAAGGGACCGTTACGATATACGGTAGTAGAAGTACCATCGGGAATCTTGGTGGAGATGATGTGCTGCTTGTATTTGTTATAGCTGAACATTTCGAGTAGCTCATCCTTGGTCATCTCAAGACGTTCGAATCGTTGGCGCTCTTTAACAATATCTCCAACGATACGCTCCAGAGGCGTCCAGTCGCTTGTCTGGACAGCACCTCCGCCGGGTAGGGCCATCTCATAGTAGAAACCATCATCGATCGGGGGCCCGATACATAAGGAACAGCCGAACCTCCTCTCGCAGGCCTCGCCAAGGATATGGGCCGAGCTGTGCCAGAACACCTCCTTTCCCTTAGGGTCGTCAAAGGTTAATAATTCGAGTTTGCAACTTTGCTCCAGAGGCCTCTCCAAGTCCCATAATTTGTCTCCGTCTATTCTAGCGACAACAGAGCGCTTGTACAAACTATTCGACACACCCTTCGCAATCTCGCCAGGTGTGGTCTCCCAGCTCGTTCCAATCTTGACAGAGCCGTCAGGTAGGGTAATTGTAATCTGCTCTCGCGGTCTCTTGGCAATTTCCTCGTCATACTTCTTCTTTAGACGGTCAAACAAGTCGAGGCGTGTCTTGAGGAAATCAGGCGGTGGTGTCATCTCGAGGGGACCAGTGCTAACATCTTCGCCGGCTGCTTTACTCTTTTTGTCCTTCTTTGAAGGCTTTGGCCCACCAACCACAACCTTCTTGACATCCCCAGACCCGGCGTCAGCCATGTTGTCGTATTATTTTAAGGGGAGTCAAGTGTTTGTCGAGCAGGGTAAAGTCGGGGTTGCGGGTTTGCGGGTTTGCGGGTTTGCGACTTGGGAATGGAAAGAACTGAAGGAAAGTTGGGTTGAGTCACAAGTTCACAACCAATGACAGAAACAACGCCGTATTCGCTGTTATGTAACAACGTTAAATTAACAGCGTTAAATGGTAAGGTATAAATGGTATAATACATAAACGCAGGTGCTTCCCAGGGTAAAATATTATTTAGCCCACCAATGCCCCTCTACCCCGCCAGCCCCGCATAGATACAAAGTACCTTGATAACGATTACCCCTTTATCAATATTACCTTCATCAATGTTACTTAGGTACAATATGCATCCATATTTTCATATTTTAAATGTTACATGCCTTTTACATTTGACTTATTATGAATTGAATGACGACTTGGTAACAGCACATAACTCATAATAAATACAAACGAATACATTAATTGTTACTACTACTACTACTACTACTACTACTCTTCTCGTATTACGCTTTAATCAATGGTTACCCTTAATGAACACACTTATGCTAATCACTCAAACAACAATATCCCCCCCCCTCCCCCCCCTTTCTCGTCCCCCCTTACTCATCCGTATTATTCGCGCCATTACTTTTCCTACCTGACAATGCTTCGGCCTTAGATTTACTGTTCGGATCAAAATAAGGCATCTCTCCTATCCCGACCGCCCGGTTTCCGAACCTCTCTCCAAGACCATCGTAGTCAAAAGTAGCAGTATGAAAAGCGCTTCTATTATCCCAGATTGCTGTATTATTTTAGTATCTAATATATGTCGATACTTAAGCTATTAGGAACTTACCTAGGTCATTCTTGTTCCTCCATTTAAATCGAACTTGCAATTCATGGTTCTCGAGAATTGTTCGACCAAACTTTTCGAGTAACTCCGAGGATTCTTGGTCTGACAATTCGTTGATATACCTTGGAAACGGTCCGACCGCAAAGATACTTTTCCACCCAGTAACTGGGTTAGTCCTAACTACTGGATGGACTGCTTTCAGTTCTCTTCCGACATTGGCATCATTTCCTCTTGGTCCCTCGTGTAATTTGACTTTTTCGGGATTCGCTGCGGCGGCAGCCAAGAACCCTTCCCCAATAAACGTAGCTGTCAGGCCCTCTAAGAATTTCTGATACGGCTTCGAGAATAGGTCATATATATCATATCCAGATGCCCAAAGTGTGTCACCCCCGGTAGTCGGAAGCTCCGTCAGACGGAGGGAGGTATAATCGGCAGGGACAGGTTCAAATTGAATATCCGAATGCCACTGTGCGGCATCATACCTCTTACTTTTCGATTTACGTAGGTCTCTTTGGAGCTTCTTCCGCTGCAGCGAGCTGATAGTGCTAATTTGATCATCGCCCACTCCAAACTTCAGATGTGCCGTTCAAGATCGGGTGTATATGCAATGTTGAATCACTCGGTTTCCCAGTGAGTTGACCTAGCCGGTGAACTAGTTGCTTCTGAAGATCGTTTGTAAGGTTATCCTGAGAACGAAAGAACACCACACCCCTCTGGGAAACTACACAGAGTTAAGGTCACAACTTCCTTGTAAAAGGAGTAGCTCATATCAAATCAAACTTACTAGTGATAGCAAGGTCACGAATAAGGTCGTCGGCATTGCTAGCGTTGAGCAAGTCGTCAACAATGTTCAGACTCGGATATTCCCGGCCAATAGTGGGGGTTGTCTCTTCGTAGGAGAACTTCTCTAGAGCTCCGACGAGGCTTAAGGGAAACGGGTACGAACGCTCCTTATCTTCATGGAGCTGTACAGGCTGGGTAGCTCCAGTGGTAAGCGCTTCCAGTGCCATGTATGCTGTATTTATACGATAAGTCTTATCTCAGTAAACTCAGACCACAAATTCGAGATCGTTCGTGGGGTTGTACCTCCCTTAGCCACACTTTTTTTTAACCAATCAAACCCCGGAACAACCCCTTAAAACAATCTCGAATCTGTGGTTTAAGGCAGGTCTAAGACCTTGTACACCAGAATTATACGTTTAACTTATTTCAGTAGCTTAGACCAGAATTCGAGAAGCGGGCTTTGCTTATCTCAGTAAACTTAGACCACATTTCGTAAGGGCGCGGGCTGCGCCCGCACCGGCGCCACAGGTGCCTTGAAAACGCATGGCCTGTGTGTTTATATTTGTGGGTTACGGGTATGTTATTTTACGAAATGTGGTTTAAGGTTGGCTTAAGCTTAAGCGTTTGTTGTAAAGAGATTTTGGTAATAAATAATTAAGTATTATATTTACGATAATTTAATATAATATAATAACGTATAAAATAGTTTTAATTTAAATGATTTAAAGTTAATAATATATTATATTTATTTATTTAAATTTTTTATATATTTATATAACGTTACGTTTTTATATTATAATTTTAAACGTTAAAACTTTTTTACGGTAATAATATTATTAATTATTATAATTAATAATATAATTAATAATATGTATTAATAGAATAAAATGCGTTATATTTTAACTTTAATATAATAATTTAAAGTTTTTTATTTTTTTTATATATTTATACGGTATTATTTTTTTATATATTAAATTTTAACGTATAAAAATGTTATATTAAAATTTATATTTATAATAATATTTATAATAACATTTATAACCACGTATAAAATAATTTATTTTATATTTAAAAATAATAATATTATTATTTAAACTTTTTTATTTTTTTTTATATTTGTATAATTTTGTTGCGATTATTGTTGCGGTTAATGCGTTGCGACCGGTAAATATTATAATTGGTAAGTATTACGGTTATTTTTAATATTTTAAAAGATTTAAAATACGTGGATTTAATTAATAAATTTAATAATAAAGTTAATATAATTATATAATTAATAATTATTTATTGTAAAAACGTGTTAGCGTTATTGTTTTTAATGATTTTATTAATTAATTAATTATTACGACCGGTGTTATAACCGGTGTTACGATTGTTATAACCACTTTTAATACTTTAAAAGATTTAAAATATGTGGATTTAATCGATAAATTTAATAATAAAATTAATACGATTGTATATAATTATTATTTATTGTAAAAATGCGTTAACGTTATTGTTTTTTTAATAATTTTATTAATTAAATAATGTTAATATTGTTTTTTATAAAACGATTTTTTAAAAAAAACGTGTTTAAAGTAATTTTAAATTAAAGTTTCGATTTTTTTTAAAAAAAGTTATACGGGTTATGATTGGTTAAAAAAGTGGTGTGGTTAAAGGAATATAACCTTATAAACCAAAAAAAATCGAAATTTTAATTTAAAGTCATTTAAAATAAAGTTTTATTTATTGGTTTACGCCATAGCGTTATATAAACGCATGTTTATGTGTTTATATTTATAAGTTACCAATTAAATGTTTTTTAAATTTTAATTTAAGTTAATTTAAACGTTAAAAAAATTTATATAATATAATTTTTTTAATAATAATAAATTAATAATAAATTTATAATAATTTAATATTTAATAATAATGTATAAAATATTTTTTATTTTTATAATTTAAAGTTAATATTTTACTTTTTTTACTTTTTTATGTTTTTTATATATTTATATAATATTACGTTATAATATTATAAATTTTAACATTTAATATAAAAAATAATATTATAATTTATAATATAATTAATAATAAATTATAATTAATATTATAATAATATTTATAATAATATTTATAATTTATAATTACGTATAAAATATTTTAAAAGTTATTATTTAATTATTTTAATATTTTCGTTTTTTTTTTATATTTATATAATTTTATCGCGTATTATAATTACCGAATTACAATTACCGCGTTATAACCGATATTACGATCGATATTATAATTAATATTAACCATTTTTATTAACATTATAACAATATTTATAACAACATTTATAATACCCGTAACCACGTATAAAATGTTTTAAAAATTATTATTTAATTGTTTTAACTTTCCCGGCTTTTTTTTATACCCGTATAACTTTATTATATACCGTGTTATAACCGATATTACAGTTAATATTAACCACTTTTAACTTTATTTTTAATATTTTAAAAAATTTAAAATATATAAATTTAATTAATAAACTTAATAATAAAGTTAAAAAATATTTAATAAATAAATTATTATTTACATTAATATTAATATATTATAAAAAAAATAAAAAAATTTAAATTAACTTAAATTAAAAATGTAAAATTTTTTTTAAAAATAAATTAAAAATATAATTGGTTAAAAATTAATATAGTTAAAAAAATATAATAAAATAAACAAAAAAAAATTTTACATTATTAATTTAAACTTTATTAACATAACGTTTAACGTTTTAAAACAATAATATTAACGAAATTATTAAAATAATATTATTAAAATAATAATATTAATGCGTTTTTATAATAAATTTAATTAATTATATAATTATATTAATTTTATTATTAAATTTATTAATTAAATTTATACATTTTAAGTTTTTTAAAATATTAAAAATAATTATAACGGTTATAACGCGTTAATTGTAACATCGGTTATAACGGTAATTATAACGCGTAACGATAATTGTAATAAACGTTAAAACTTAATATATAAAATCGTATAAATATGTAAAAAAAGTTAAAAAGTTTAAAAAATAATATTATTAATTTTAAATTATTAAAAAAAAAAATTTTATATGTAATTATAAAATAAATATTAAATTATTATTATATTTAAATATATAATTATTATTATATTTAAATATATAATTATTATTATATTTAAATATATAATTATATATATATTTTAAAACGTTAAAGTTTAATATATAAAAACGTAATACCGTATAAGTATATAAAAAAAATAAAAAGTTAAAAAAAACATATTATTAATTTTAAATCATTAAAATTAAAATTATTTCGTACATTATTATAATATATTAAATTATTATAAACATAATATTTAAATTTTTTATTATTAACGAAAATATTAAAAACTTTTATAACATTATATAATTTTAAATTAAAAATTTTTAAATATTTTACTTATAATTTATAAGTATAAACATACGGACCACGCGTTACGTGGCGTAAATAAACGTAACTTAACTCGAAAATTTCGGGTTTAAAATCACTTAAAATAAAATAAGTCAAAATTGGTAAAATTAAATGGTTTATAAACGATTACTTTTATTACGTTTATTTTATAAGTTTATTTAAACATACGAGTTTATAAACACACATATATATAATTTTAAAAATATTGTTTAAAAGTAATAAAATTATATACCCCGTAATATATAAAAAACTTAACAAATAAATCCATTTATAATCACGCAATCGTTATAATAATCACATATAAATGTATTATTATAATATTATTTTATTAACCGTAAATAATGTTATTTTAAATAACTTTAAATAAACCCGAAATTTTTAAGTTAAATTACGCCCGTTTACGCCACGTAACGCATGGTTTATATGTTTATATTTATAAATTACAAATAAAATATTTAAAAAAATTTAATTTAAAATTATATAATATTACAAAAGTTTATAACGTTTTTATTAATAATAAAAAAAATTAAACATTATATTTATAATAATTTAATATATTATAATAATATACGAAATAATTTTAATTTTAATAATTTAAAATTTATAATATATTTTTTTAACTTTTTATTTTTTATATATATTTATATAATATTACGTTTTTTTTTAAAAAAAATATAACGGTTAAATTTTTTAAAAATTAATAAAATAATTAATAAAAATGTAAAGTTTTATTTAATGTAAAATTTAATAAATTAAAAAAAAAGATTTTTTTTATTAATTATTTTAATGATATAATTAACGTATAAATAAAATAAATGTGGTAATTTATTATAAATTTATTACATTTTAATTTATAAAGTTTTGTTTAATGTAAAATTTAATAAATTAAAAAAAAAGATTTTTTTTATTAATTATTTTAATAATATATTTAACGTATAAATAAAATAAATGTGGTAATTTATTTAATAATTTATATAAATTTATATAATAATAATATTTATTAATAGTTTTTTTATAAAAGAATTTTTAACTTTTTATTAATTTAATTTATTATAAATTTATTACATTTTCCATTATATTATTAATTTATTACATTTTTTTATTACGTTATAAATTTATTACATTTTAAAACTATTTTTTCGTTAAATTTTATTAAAGTAAAAATATGTTAAATTATTATGGAAAATTTTATAAATATTTTTTAAATATATTTACAAATATTGTTTACATTTTTATATTTTTCGTTTTATTTTTTTTTGATTATAAATTTATAACTTTTAAACTTTTTTAAAAATGGCTTTAATTTTTTTAATATAATTATTAATACGATTAATATTTTTTTTCTTTTTAATCTTTTTAAATTATATATTATTTATTTTAATTAATTATGTTTTTATATTTTATTTAATATTTCCACTAATTATATAATTTTTATAAATTGTTAAATTTTTTTTTATTAAAAAATTTTATATTTTAAATTATTTAAATATTTGCGTAAAAAATTAAAAACTTTTTTAAATTTATTTAACTTTTTGATTTAATTTATATATATTTATTTTATTTATTAATAATTTTGTAAAATCTTTTTTAATATATTATTAATAACGTTTTTTATATTTTTTATTTATACTTTTACATTTTTAATATTATTATTTTCGCTGTTTATTATAATATTTTTATTATTAATTTTTTATTGTTTTTAATGGTAAATATAAAAGTATTAAAATTATAAATATTAAATATAAATTTTATTATACTTTTATATATTTTTATATT